AGACCTGATAGGTATTTTTGTAAAATAGATGTGATGTCACCTTGGGCACATGTGAACTAGTAACCTTTGCTGATAAATATACTTTTTTTTTCCCTAGGTAAAAATCTGTGTTCAAACTAGCAACTGTATATAGTGAATGAGATCTGCACGTCTCATGACAGCTAGCCAGGGCTGGTCCCCGCTCTTCGTTTTCTTCTGCTTTATATTAGTTAAGACACCACCGCTGCAAACATGCTCAGACTGACAACCTGCTTCCTTCTCTTGTGCTTTTTGTTTTTTGGCTTGTTTGCTGACTTTTCCACCTATCTCAACGTTAGGTTCTTCCTACTCCGTTTAGCATAATTCAGGTCTGTGTGCCTGTAACACAGGCTCATAAAATAATACTTAATGCATAAATATCATTTGTGTTGTAGATCATTCTATAGCTTTGTTGCCAAGTAAATTCTGAATTTTGACCAAGCAATGAATTCAGTTCATAAGCGCTGGGTTATTAGTGGAACTAATTTTAGCAAGACACTTCTTATCAGTGTAGATGTGCTTAAAAAAAAAGTAAATTATAACAATGGACAGCAACATAATGGTTTTAATGAGGCACTAGGATGGTTAACTGTTTAAGTACTTTAGTCATTGCAAAACAGCATTAATGAAAATGAGATCTGATTATTTTTGCAGGGGATGCAGCATGGAATAATACATGCAAAAAGTGCTGCAGCTGGATGTGAATATTTTAAAACCACACTGTGCTCTCCTGGCTTTTTGAATAGATTTCAGTGATCTAGCTACTAGAAATGGCAGAAACTACTGCTTTTGTGAATAACGTTAGTCCCTCTCTTGTTGGTTTCTTGTGAGAATGGTGTCTTACAAATGAATATGACTTTGCTGTTGTGGAGGCCAAACAATGGGGAACAGGTTGGAGACGGCTATTGTTATATATGCTATTGTTGTATAGTGCCTATACTTGAAGCATGCAGACCTTGCTACGTTCTGCAGCTCAGCAGTTACCTGGTATGCGGCAAAGAACGAAGGGAAGTTGGGGAGAGAAGGACAGGCAGTGTTCAGTAATCTTATGGAAACCTCTGAGAAACAGGAGAAGGCAATTCAGGAGTATAGGGGGGCTCTGAAAGGTGGGGAGAACGTCATCATGAAGGTTGGCCTCTCAGTGACTAGTGAAACAACGAGCAGCTTGGTGGCTCTGGGAGCTAACAGAAGCCCAGTGTGGTGAGCAGAGTACTCCTCTAAATTAGGAGGTATGAGGGCAGCTGATGGAGATAATAAACAAACATTATTGTTGGAAAGTGTGCCCTAGCAGAGCTGCTACATATCTTGCATCTCCCTCCCTTTTTGGCACCCTTCTTCATTCGCAGTAGCCTCAAGGGTCAGCAGCCCTGGCTTTTCAGTGTCTGAGGAACTCTCGGTAGGCGTAGGAGAACTTGTTGCTTTGGCTTTTCTTCATGTGGGAGAAAAAGCAGCTGTCCATGGAAGCTCGGTCACTTTTGATGCCTTTAATTCAAGTTTCTCCTTGGAGCTTTTGCATTGCAGCCCCCCAAATTCCTCAGCAGTCATCAAAAGGAGAGGCCAGGCGCAGTCACTGACAGCTTTATTATATTGAGCTAAAAGCTCAAAGATTCTGAGAAATGTCTTTCCCTTGCTTTGGTTCCTTATTGTTTGTACCCTTAGGAAAATAAAAGATATATATTTTTTATTTTCAAATGTAACTCAAAGTTTTCGTACACAGCCAAAGATTATCCTTTGACAGAAATAAACAAAGCATGTGTAATAAATCCTGCATATATAGACAGTGGTCTCTGGTCATGGCATTAAAATGTTTCATCTCTAGCGAGAGCCCAAGTTCAAGCACATTTTTAAATGAAAATAGAAAGCATAAAAATCTGGGCTTGCATTATGAATATTATCTCCAACAGTGTATGAGGGAGAAAACTTAGACATCACTGATATTTCTTCCAGAATGAAATCATGCTTGCAAGTTTATACAAAACTAATGGTAACGTATAGAGCATGTTAATGAACAGCTGCTGAAGTGAAATTTGCTCTTCTGTTTAAAAATCGGTGAAAAGAGTTACAGCATTCACAGCTCCGTATTGCAAAAAATGCAATCCTGCCGAACAAGTGCGCTAGTACTGCTGTACCCACAGACCATAACAAGTGACTCGGTGCCTCATCCAATATTTACTGGATATCTTCTGGCCTTTCTTTAAAGAAACTTAAAGAGAGTAAGACTAGCTCACTCTTCCTCACTCCCACCAATAACAAGCCCAATGTGAAGGTTGCCATGTGGGTAGATGTGTTTGCAGGTCCAGAATATGCTGTCTTTGATCTTCTTGCATCTCTACCCTTGGTAATGTTCCCCTTCCCTTTGCTCTTGCAGATGCTCCAAATGCAGCATGCGGTCATGATTTAGGGCAGGTAGTGTTTGGCTGCCAGAAGTTGTCTGAGTGTCTGCCATATAGCTTTCAATTTCCCAAAAATCATGCTCTACTGTCATCCTGCAGATACTTGGCTAGTTCTCAGTGGCTAGCATGAGCACTAAGTCCAAGAATAATGAAGAATGCTGATATCAGTAATGCCTGTAAGGTTAGTCACGCCAGCAAATCAACATCTGTTATTTAAGATTATGTTTGAGAATTCCTGAAAACTATGACATCATTAACTTTTCCAGACCAACATGTTAATATTGGTCAGGTAACTGACAGGATTCACCAAGGCCTGGGAGCACAACAAAGAAGTAGCTCTTTCCATTGGTAAATGCTGAGGCAGGGTGTTAATTTGCCACTTTGGTATAATTGGGGAACTCCCTGCATGCAAAACAGCTGTTTCTCTCTGGAGGATTGGCAGGCTTTACATAGGACAGTACTTCCTGGTTGTGATACTCATATTCTGCTACATCAGTAGTGATAACTTATCTTTCCAAAATACTGCTTAGCAGAAATTACCACTTTCCGGATGGTGCTAACCACATCCCTCTGAATGGATAATGAAACAAATCGGAGAATAGCTGGGCTGTGGCAAACATTATAGAGAAATCTAGGAAATTGCTGTTTGGAATTTCACCCTGAAATTCTGCTGCCAGTCCTTTCTCACCAGCAGTGCTTATTTCCTCAGGTCTTTAAAAGATGCAGTACAGAGCAAAGGAAAAATCTGCCTCATAGCAGCTGCTGAATTTTGTCCAAATTTCTTGCTCTCTTCTTAGAGCGGCAGTAGGCGGATAAAGAGAAGTTTTAACAGCATCTTTAGCCTCAGTCAAGTCTGCTTGGTAATATGGCAGCCAGTTAGCAAAGCTTCAGCCAAGCCGTGGCAGTATTTTAAGTTCCTGTGCATCAGCCTTGGCATCGTTCCAACTGTCAGCAGAATAGTTGTTTTCCATCCGTTATGGTCCACGGGGAATTTGCAAACGGCAACTGATATCTACAAAATAAGTTGGGGTGGCATTGACTCCCTGATGCGGGGCATGATGGGCACTTTATGTGCATAAGCAGAAACATTTGTGAGCGCCTCCTCTTGCGTTCAGGGCTGTTTGAATGTGACCGAGCTGCAGCTGGAGAGCTGCTGGCCACGCTGCAGGGTGGTGGCCTCGGGCTCTGTACCGCAGGCATCTCATGGTGGGCCTTGAGGAGAACCCCAGCTTGCGTAAGGGCCGGCAGTGACACAACAGGGGCGTGGGATGGCTGCTCGCGGTGCGGGATGCTGCTCGGGAGGAACCCGCCAGCCTCCCCACACCCTGACTGATGGCGAAGTAAAGGCAGCCCGTTTCTGTATGGCTGCCAAACTTCAGCACAAGGCAATTTTTTCAGTGAAGCATCTTTGTCAATGTAAATCCTGCATATGGACAAGCTCTGACTTAAACTGGTATAACTTTGAATGCAGAGGCCCTTAAACTAATTAAAACCTGGCATATATTAATACAGGCTGAAGTAACATACCCATGTCATGCGTGGTGGCCATGTTTCTGTGTACTCCTTTCTCTTAAAGATGGAAGGGTTTTTTTGGAAAAACTTTGCAGCTCAGAGGACAGCCCTAGTTATTGTTTGTTTATGGAAGTTTCCCCTCTATACTTAAATGAGCAGGATTTATGTTATTCTGAGACAGCATCTGAGCCTTTTGTCAACCTTATATTTTCCTAGCAGTGACACAAGAACAGAATTTAAGATGAATGCTGAGTTCTGTCTTTCTTTGTCCTGCTTTGTGCACTCCCTCGTGCTTTTCTTCCCAGTGTTTGACATGCTGCAATGTTTCAGAGAGAATTAGCGGGCTGTCTCTTTAGAAAAACAAGGTTTGGGGGCAGGCAGTAGCGTTTGTATATTCTGTTATCGTGGGTGGCCTTCAGTTTGCAGGAGCCCTTGGAACAGGAAGGGCTTGGTGTGCACGCAGCTCTCCCCTCCTGCGGAGGCTGTGAATGCTGTTTCACTCTGCAGAGAGGTCTTGTGTTGTTTGAGCTTGCAATTCCTAGGAACAAGTTAAACCTCCAAACAGCATAGTTTAAAATGAAATGCAATTATCTTTTGCAATAGATGTGTTAACTTCTGAGGCGGATTAATCGCTTGAGAATTAATGTGCAGAAAGAAAAAGTGTAATTGTTTGTTTTTCTGTATGAGAGCTACAATATGTGCTTTGATTGCAGGACAGAGCTAATACATCGTGAATGATGTGTTATTTCTGTGACATGAACACTGCTCCCTGTGTATTTATCAAATGGTAATTACCTCTGCCTTCACAGGGTGAGTACTGCGGCATGTGAAATTAAGTGTTAGTCTAAGACACTGCAGCTATTTCGTTAATACTCTAAGGCTTCAGGTCCCTGAGTGTCAGGAAGAGCTTGTACTGGTTTTATTGATTCTTATTTATGGTTATAAATAACAACTATGTTTAAGCTCATGATCTTATGACACCAGCTTTTGTACTCAGAGATGTAACACAAATCAAAGTTCTTAGTGGCCTAAAGGACTTTGTTGCTTTGTTACGTGGTGACTATCCTAAGCGTTTTCCATGCAGCGTGTGTATGTTCCTGCCAAGGTGGTTTGCTATGTAAAACCACTGGGGAGAAGCCCAGTAGCTTGCTCGCTGTGTCTGAGAGCAGCTCCAAAAGATGTGGGAGGACAGTGGTCAAGGCACCTACAAAATTTTGTCAGCGCTTGGTGCGTGGGCAATAGGGGTGGAGGATGTTCTGGGATGACTTCAGCGCTGGGATTTGCAGTATCTGATGGTATCAGCACTTGACAATTTTGATATCATAGACTATCCATAATAATAGTCTTGTGCCTTGTTCTGCACTGTCTCTGCCTTTGGTCACCACATCCTTCGGTCTCCCGACTGGGGCTCCTTTTTCCCCCTTCGAGCCAATGTGCCGGAGCGTAACAGCTGCCCGCAAGTAGTGGGGGGGACAGGCTGTTGGTTCCCTGTTACTCGAGCTCTTGTTGCTGCTCTAAGCGTCGTTTACACTGTTGCGCAGTGAACATCAGTTACACTACAGATTGTTTATCTGTCATGAATCTGTAGATACTCACTTAAACATTAAAATCTGCTGAGCCTGCAGGGTAGAGCTCATCGGTAAGCTCACCATTGTGGCTGTTGAAAAGCATGTGTCCACTGCAGTGACAGCAGGAGCTTTGACAAGCCAAATTCAGCTAGACTTTGAAAGGATTAAAGATGCCACAGATACTGGAACAGTACCAAGCTGCCAAAGCTTCCCAGTTTAAGTACATCAACCCAAAAGAGTTAACTGAACACAGCGTTTAAAAACACCCAGTATGTTGGTACGTTATGCTAAATAACCTTTAGGACTCAAACCAGTCCCTTCTCTTGGGAACCTAGATTTTACAATGGCAATACTTACTGAGGGGAAAGAAATGAAGTGCCTGTATAGCTGAGCGAGACGCTCTAATTCCAGGAGTTTAGAAAGTTAAGCAGCTGCTGAACGCTGTCAGTGATGGAGCTGACTTCTTAAGACATAAAAGAAATGTAGACCAGGAACTGCAATGTGAATGCAGAAATGCAGAGAAGGCAGTCTGTATTCTGTTCACCAGCAAGCGAGGACACATGGTGTATGCTCTAGAAACTCAGTGCCCAGATGAATTCAGATTTCTTTGTAAACTCCCGAGCGCAATTTTGTAGCACTGTGTCGTTCTGGAATATTTTTGCATGGGTGGTCTTAGGAGACTGCAAAACTGTGCCTTTCATACTAGGTCGTTAGGATTTTAAGTAAGCCTATATATCCTATTATTTGGTTTGCAAGAAAATAGACAAGTTTGTTTTTTTTCCTCATATACAGTTGTTTACCCAAAGAAGTTAGCAGAAGTTAATATTTGATTTTTTCTTAAGTTAGTAACACTTACTTGCTGTGTGGTAGTTTAGCCTTCTACTGCTGCAAATTAAGTTGAGAACTGGCATGTTAAATCAGGAGTGGCACCGCTCTCCGTGTCTTTTTTGTGTTTGTAGACTCGTAGCTTTAACTTTATAGAGCAATTTGGAATAAAATTGAAGAATACCCATCTGTGATCTTGCTGTTATTTTATCTAAGCATGATATATGAGACATAATTTGAGCTTGTTATCTTTCCTGATCCACAAAAAACCTGTGTGTTATGATTTACATGGAACAGAGACAAGGTATTACAGCAAACTTGGTCATAGTCTCATGCAGCTGACTGGAATATAAATTTAAATTTTTAAAATTTGCTGTGATCTCTTAACTCTAAGAATTCCAGTAACAGCCTTCTTGCAAGTTTGTCCTTTCTCACCAAAGGCGTGCTGTGGTGTCCTGGGTGCATGTTTTCTGTGTATGCTTGTAGGTTAGGGGAAAGATCAAAACTTACAACTGACTGTCGAAAGTGAATTGATGGTGGGAAATCTAAATATTAATTTTACGCCTTGTTCTCACTGTAGCTGGCAGGTTGTTTCCCCTGTCATTTGTAACATATCTTTTCCTCTTTCTTTCTCTCAGTTACTATGTGGGCAAGCTGTTGTAACTGGTTTTGTCTGGATGGCTCACCGGAGGAGATGCAGCCCCAGCCGCAGCAGGGAGCCCGAGCCCAAGCCTACTCCAACCCCGGTTACAGCTCCTACCCGTCTCCCACGGCGTCTGAGCAGAGCTGCAAGGCGTGTGGGGTGCACTTTGACAATCCTGCCAGGAAGGTGGGTTGTAACTCTCCGTCCTGCAGCCGCTGGCCTAGGGGAGCATTCGGTTCGGCTGCTGTGGCCTGTCTGGCTCCTATTTAATTACAGAAAGCCAATTTGAAGAGAAACACATGCCCATTAGAAGCCTCAGATTTGAGGATGTATCATATGGAAAAAGACAGCTTGTCTTTGCTTCTAGATATTTAGTTGTTCTTTTGCAATTAGCAGACATAATTTAAGATGTCTGGAAATGTGGTAGTTAACCTTCAGTAGGCTTGGCTTTCCCAGGCACTGAAAGAAGAATGCCAAGCTGCTTGTAATCGCTTAAAGGAGCATTAGTTTGAACATTAGTTTATAATTTGTTATTATAAAAAGGCTAATGTCCTTAAAAATAAAAAAGGTAGTGGCAATAATTCAGGAGTCGGTTTGTGCCTTCAGTGAAAGATATGCGTATATTTTTTTCCCAAGCTATTGCTGTTCAGGCTAAAAAGCCATGTAAGGTTATGGGATTGGGGGTTGAATCGCTGAAGCTCTGTGCCAAAAAACCAAACAAACCCCAAAACAGCAGAAGACGACCAAACCCGTTTTGTCTTGTTTGTAAACTTCATTTGTGAGCATATAGTTGCCAAAATGATTGTTGCCATGAGGTTTTTAATTAGACAGCAAACCCTGGCTGGGAAATTATTTAGACATGGAGATTCCCATAATGCTTCCTGAATAGTGTTTTAGTGAAGAAAACTGGTTAGAGTCCAAAATCTGTTGCTTAAGTGTCTGATCCATATAGCATGTTACTAAAGTGAAGCTAATGAATGAAGAATAGAGGCATTTGATCTGCAGAAATGAATCTTTTAAAAAGCTCTGCTAGGGTATCTTTTCATGATTCTGTTTCGAAAAAGCCATAAAGCTTTCTGTAAATGTGAAAGCTTCTTAAAAATTATGGTGAGTTTTGGCTATAGCCCTTTTAGATTAGGTAGAGAAATTCATATATTGGTCTTTTTTTGTTTCGTCTCCCCTTTTTATTCACGCATGCTGGTGCATATTTTCTGAGAAAGGGTAAGTCTTGGTACAACTGTTCCTGTCGCTTCTGAGAGTAGAAAGTGATGTTTGACTTTTGCACTGAGAAATGTTATTGTTCCAGGAATCACTGCAGACTTAAACTTTGGTAATTGATTTTTGGGTTTTATCTCCCCTTAGTGGTTTGGGTGTGTAAGCGTGCTGAGACTTTCCCTGATTGTAGGCAGATTCTGAGTCAACCGTGAATGGTGCATGTCACTGCACGTAACTGTGCATAATGTTGTCTTAATGCTGTCCCATTAATGTAATGTGTCTTTGCAAACACTTTGAAAAAGATTAATTCTGAAACCAGTGTTAACTGTTGAAATGAAACACATTCAGGCAGTGAAGGAGTCTGCCACTGTGTATGGGTTATACAGCATCAGTGCTAGAACTGTGGTCCCATTAGTCCCGGTGTCTTCTAAAGTACATGTTCTAATACCAACTGTCATCCAAGCAGTGCCTTGTATACCACTCATCAGTACCATTCCAGATGTGTGAAAACATAGGGACCTATGCATGCTAGGTAAAGCTCTGATACGGGCGTTGTAGTGGATCTGTGGTAGCTCTTTAAGACGTTTCTGCTGCCAGCAGGCTTCCCTGTTTTCCTGCTGGGGTTGACTGTCCCTGTAACTGGGACAGCAGAATAGAATGTGTGCTTGTGTCTCAGCTGCTTCCATTCAGTGCAGACTATCAATGAAAATGAGGTTGAGATTTATCTACTGTACTGTGAAGGGAGGTTCCTAAACCACAGGCTCATGTTCCCTTCTGCCACCATAACTACTGAGCCATTACATCTGGGACTGGGTGGCTACAGCTGGTAAAGTTTAAATAGCTGCAGCAAGGTCTGCTAGAGCCCATCCATCAGTTCTTGGTCTCCAGAACAGAATTTGAGATCAAGGATTGCCTATTTAACTTGCTCATAAAACACTGACAGATTGGAAAGCCATTTTAATTCCTCAATTTAATTCTGCTAAGGTAGAACGAGAGGCATGCGAAATCTCACTTTGCTACAATGAGAGCAGAAAAAGTCTGCATTTTATCCCAGGAGAGGCAATTCCTTTGAACTGTAGGGTCCAGTTAATATTTATACTGGAATAATTTATACTTGTATAAACTTAATAGGTAAAAATGAATTCCTTCCACGTTGGAGACCATGTGAATAACTTAGATTGCTTTAAAAAGAAGAAAGTAAAGCAGAATGATGGTTTCTTAGGTACCTGACCTTTTATCATAACTCTGTTAATTTTCATGCAACCTGGCACTTGATAAAAGGACTAGGACAGGGGGCATTTGAATGGAGCACGGGTTTATAAGCTGCTTGTAAATAACTGTTGGAGCATCTTTAAAGGATATAAAATTAGTGGTGGTAGCAAAAATAATCTGAGTGTTTTTGTTTTCTTGCTCTTAGCTAACTTTTTTGATCTTGCTTTTCTGTAGCAAACTGGATTCCACAAAATCTTTTAATTTAAAGCAAGCATTCTTCATTTTGCTCTCTGCCATTAGAAAGCTAAGCCAGGCAATTTTGGGGACATGTCAAATTGTTATTCCTTCCTCCCCCATTTCTGATTTCAGTGCCTCAAATTGGCTGACATTTTCAGGAAGATGCTTTTCTTTGCGTACTTACAGAAAAAGCTCCTGGCAAGCTAGAGTATAAGATTAAAAAAAAAACAAAACAAAAAACAAAAACCCAACAACAGCAGCTGTAGGGAAGGCTTGAATGTTGGCATTTCTTCATTTTATCCTGCACGCAGAGAAGAGCCAAGTGTATCAAAGCCCAATCCTGGTATCTCTGGGAGATTAGCTGTCAGAGCAAACAACCAGGGACAGCTTACGTTCAGGACAGACTTCTGAGTTGAAGTTTTGCCCTTTTGTTTGACTACCCCGTAATTGTGCTACCGATTAGAAATAGCAAGTATCATTGAAAAGTGGCCTAACTTTTTAGTAACAGTAATTTTAGCTTACAATAATGTTTAAAATGAATTGTTCTGGAGAGAATGTTGTCTTCAGTTGTGGCCCTTTCAGTCAGAGTTCAGCAAATACAGCAAAAGCTTTGAAGGCTGCTTAATACTAAGATGCAGCAAACAGCTTCTGTGCATGTTTAAATAGTTGATGTTCAGATACAGGCAGGGTGTGTGTTTTTTTTTTTTTTTCTCTGAAGATAACTCCTAGTGGTGAACTGATAAGCAAGTGACGTGCTTATTTTTATTTTGGCTTCTCAAGAGTATCATTTGATAACTAAGTTAGACTCATATGTTATGGCTGTTAATTGCTGGCAAAAAGTATGTTGAATAATGTAGTCCTTGTACGGGCATCTTCTGGGTAGAAGGTTCTTGGCCGTGCAGTGTGTTCCCTTTAGAGCCAAACTGGCAGTTCTCCGAGCATGGGAATTTTTTTTTTCTTTTTCCTCCAGAGTAAAGCTCTGTAATTTTTTCCCCCACTTCTTCTGATTGCTTTCCTGTCAGGGGGATGAGTGACTGGGAGAGGGAAAGTGTTGTCATTTTCCATTAATCTGGTGTGACCTCCTGAGTGCACCCGTGATCGTTTGGTAGGAATGCCTTTGTGGAGCACCTGCTCCTTTGCTCCACGCGCACGTCTCTGCCCTGAAAGTTTTCAGAGTTATCTGAACTGCTCCAGAAATCTTAGGGTCAAAAATAAGTCAGTCAAATACTAATGTTTTTTTATAATGACCAAGCTGAGGAAAACTTCTCAAAACTGGACAGTATGTAGAGATTGTCCTTTCTGTCGTGGTTCGTGGTTGATGAATGTCACTTTTACTTGGCAAGCCCACAAACAAACAGGAATTCTGAGATGAAGCTTCAAGTTTGCACAACGAGAGATTCTCTTTATGGTAGAAACTTTCTTATCCTAAAATGCTTCGATATAGGACTCTTTCCACTAACTCCCAGTATGAAGCTCTTACAGGTCCACAGCAGAAGTCTGTCAGTTATAAGTGTAAGGGGGTGCGTGGGGCAAGGGGGCTGCTAGGCTGTAGAGGGGTCAGAAGGAGCTCCTGTGAGCTAGGAGCATGTTTACGTGTTTCAGAACGTGAGAAACATCTGCTTTCTTTGAATTGTGAAGTTTAAAATGTTCTTTAATCACCAGAAGCAATTCATGAAACAACTTTTTCTGTCTGTTCATGCTTGTTGCTTTTCCAAGTCGTCTTATGCGTTCCTCCTCGTGTAGCTCTGAAGGGCCGGGGATGTTAAGGGTAAATTTATGGTAACTTACAAATAGAATGGAGAAAGTTATTTCTCTAGTCCAAGCAGATGTAGAAATGAAGGGTATTAACTGTAAAAAGTCCAGTCCAGAACTCTAGTGACATAAAATTGCTGTTACTAGCTGGTCTTTCTGAAATGCCTTTTTGGTCTTGCTCCAGCTCCTACTGGGACAAGCAAACATATATGCACAAATTATTTCAGACTCAAAAGAAAGATTTGTGCCTGCTGAGTCATTCCAGAGGTGACCATTTCAGGGTAAAAATAATGTGTGCTGCCTGGATAAGAAGGGGAATGAAAGTCTGTAGGTTGCTGCCTGTGCATCTCCCTGTTTCATAAAGAAATTGTCTTTCCTAAGACTGTGAATTAGCATTTTTAACAAGCAAAGAAATAATCCAGTTCTTTTCTCCCTCAGGACTTTTTTTTTAAGGGTCCGTAATGTGGCTGTTCTGCTGCTATTCCTATTGGAAAATGCAGAATTTGACTTTCCAAAGTGTTGAACAGTCAAGTTTCTACAGAAGTCAACATGAACCGTGAGTGCTTGGAACTTCTGAAAATCAAGCCCTGAGTGTTGATATCAGAACAGCATAAAATGTAGATATTAAACAACAAAACTTAATCTGAGAACTTTTAAAACATCTGGGGCCTAATATTTCCAAAACTTCCAACACTTTCTATTTAGCACCTAGCTGGCACACAGCATGCATATTATTTTTAAAATAAGCTGGTTATTTTTGTTGCATAAATACAATTTGAGTTCTTTGAAGTCAGTCTGACATTGTAGACCTTGTTATTTTCTTCTCCTCTTATGGTGAAAAATTGAGCTTCGTTTACTGATTGCAGCAAGTTGGAGGGGAAAAAAAAGGATAGGGGGAGTTACTTTTAGCAAGTATTAAACTTATTAAATAGAGAAATATTTACAAGTTGTTCCCTCCAACGCTGGAGCTTTCTTAATGCACACAACAGCTTTTCATTGCTTTATAAAGCAATGCACAACTAGCTGTGACTTACTTTTATAGAGTCTGCTGCCTCATAGATATCTCTTGATTTCATCTGGGACTTGAACTGGATGAACAGGTCCAGAATAAGCTCCAGGAAGCTCTTGTTACTTGAGGGAATTGTTTAAGAATGTAAGTAGTGCTTTTCTAAGAACTGTGAGGAATCTAGCGATCTGTTCGTGGGATGCGATCCACCTCCTCGTCTAGGAGCATGCATAAACATACTTGACACTTTTTCATAAATTAGAAGGTTTTGTTTATGCTTTAGCATGGGTTATGACTGACTTTGGCTTCCAGATATTAATGGAGCCCTACAGTCGTTGCGCACCTGCATCTGCAGGCTTGGCATATCTGTTTGATTCTGTTCTCTTTTCTTTATCAGCACGTTTGCTTGGACTGTAGAAAGACTTTTTGTGTATCCTGCTCAAGTCAGCCTGAAAGTGGTCCCCTTCTCTGCCATCTATGTCAGCGTTTCCGAGCCACAGCTTTTCAGCGGGAAGAGTTGATAAAGATGAAGGTGAAGGATCTGCGAGATTATTTGGCACTCCGTGACATTTCCACAGAATTGTGTCGTGAAAAGGAGGACCTGGTATTTCTGATTCTGGGCCACCAGCCTGTAATTACCCAGGAAGATCAGATACAAACACCTTCTTTAAATAGTAGTGCCTCTGGACAGCAAGACTTTGTGATTCTTCCACCAACCAGCATAGCATCTTCTACCTCACGTGATGCACCTCCAGTGTCTGCAGATCCCATCTCAAGTTCGTTAGCTCAGGAACATCCACAGGTACAGTCTCTAGCCAGAAGCATCCTTTGCATACTCGTTTTTTCCTGTTGTTGGATTAACTGCTAAGATAGTCTGGGAGGTTCTTCAAGTAGGAAACGTGCCAGAAAGGTTTTACGTGCCTGCTTAAAAGTTATGGAGGGCTTCTGTGTAGAATAGCTGACAAAAAACTTTAGCTGCATTGTATACATGCTCTTTCCAGTTTATTTAAATTTTGGAGTGAGGACCTCACAACTTCTTACAGAATAATTAGGGAAGTAAGATGAGTTATTTTACACTGCCTTTTTGCCGCACTGACTCTGATGTGCCATTCCCACTTTCTGCACTAGTAGAATTTAATTTGGAGGGCAGGGCTGAATATACTGGATGCTTACTTGAGAAAAAACATCACTATTCTGAGGTCCTCTGGGATGTGATTTTTTTTTTTTTCCCCCCCAAGTGGTCTGCTTCACACTTTCCACTGGCAGTAGACGTTTCTGTGACTAATTTGGTACTTGATACCCGTGTTGGCGCACAGATCTGTCTTGTCCATTGATGTTAACAGCTTTTTGACACGGCTTTCTGACAATTATATGTGGGTATTAGATGAGACAGTTGTTACTTTGCTTAATTCATGTGCAAGACAGCAAGCATGCTTTAAGATGATCTTGGATTTGAGACTGCTGGGAAAGAGGACTGAGGGATGAGCAAAGTGTTTGATGTCTTCTGCACCTAGATCGACTGATGTCAAAACCCAAATTTGTTGTTAGTCTTCAGTATATGCTGAACTGTATGCTGTTCTGATGAACCCTGTCAGGGGCATTTGAGTTTAACTTTTTTATTGACTTTACATTGTTTGTCTTTCTCCTATTCGGTATGGGAAGTTTACTCAGTGTTCAACGTCTGCTGTCAGTTCTATTACTAAGTTAATAGGTATACTTTGTCCTCTGTAGGCCAGAGCTCTGAAAGTGTACCACCTTCTTCCTCAGCAGATATATCTAGTACAAAAAGAGCATTTTGGGGGAGGAGAGGGGAGGGACATTTTTCACACATGATTAGAAGGGCCTTTTTATTCTCTGATTTCTGGATATTGCCATCTGAATTTTTACCTGCATGTTCAGCTCTGCCATCCTCCCATACTTCCCGATGATGCCTTTCAGCTCCTTTTCTTGACTCCCGTGACATCTTGCTACAGTTCAGGCTCTTTCGTCATTATCGTTATTCTTTTGCTTTGCAAGTATTAACAAGTCATCGCTCCTTTAAGCAGTGTGGTAACATTACCCTCTTTTATCGGTAGGGAAACCACATAGGAGAACGACAGCTGCAGAGGGAGAGCTGGCTAGGATTACACTGCAGTTCTTCTCGTTCTATTAAGCGCTCAGGGCATTTGCCCCATCTCTTTCTACAGCAACTCCATCTTAAGGCAATATAGATTTGGTCTCCTCCTGATCCAGACCTTGTAAGCCTCGTAAGAGCATCATGTGGGAGCTTACTGTGCAAGTACTTTACAAGGTTTAAATAAAGTGGGGCCTTAATGGGTCAGATAGGACACTTCAGTTTCAGTTAGCGTTTACCTTGTTTAAAATTTATTTGCTTTTGCAAGTGCCGCACAGAAAACATCTCCTACCAGTCTGCCTCGCTTTTTTTACCTTATGCTGCAGTTCATCATTCCAACAGGCAGTGTTTGCAGTTAGGCTGAACTATCAAGCTAATTTCTATCTGGATACACAGATATATGCTGTTGGTGAAAGCTTTATTTCCTTTTAGGCAAATGGGTATGTACTGCTAAGACAAGTTGATGTGACTGGAGTTGAGAATGCAGCAGGAGCATCAGCAGAGGAGGAGTAGACACAGGTTTGTGTGCCCTAGAGTTAGACAGATGACAAGGAATACCAGGTTTTCTAGGCTGCGTTTGCTGACCCAGAATCATTACTGCAGAGAAATGGGTGGCTAGACAGTAATTCAGACTATATCCATCTGCAGACCCAACCAGCTCCCTTCTTTAGCATTATCTTGTCCTCCACATACAAAAACAGCTAGTGTCACTTGGACGTGATAATACTAGGAATGGTTTATTTCCATTGTAGGACTTGTTTCAGGTAAATGGAGGGTTTCACACAGTAATCCATGTTATATGTACATCCAGACACAGAATCCTGTTAGTGCACATGTTGAAAGTTGATTTAAATTGCAGTGTTAGGTAGTGAGGGCAAGAATCATTCCGTCTTTGTTCCCTTTCAGTCTATTGACTCAGAAGATAACCTGGCACAGGGGCGGAGGGCTTCTCTTTCTGATCTGACAAGCATTGGAGATATCGATGCACTCACTGTGCGACAGCTGAAGGAAATTCTTGCTCGCAACTTTGTCAACTACAAAGGCTGCTGTGAGAAGTGGGAGCTGCTGGAGCGGGTGACTCGCCTTTATAAAGAGAAAGACCTTCAACATCTAGGTAAGAAACTTAGCAAGCACGTGTCTGGTTTCCAGGCTTTCCCCCTCTACTGACAGCGGCAGAAGGGACTAGAACTTCTCCATGTTTCTTCCTTGCATGTGAGAAGAATAGAATGTCTCGAGTTCTGATATATGTCCATGCACTGTTAGAGTGGAGTTGCTAGACTATATTCACCACTGTTTGTACTTGTTTAACGTGAGAGCATCGTGTTAACTCCAAAGAGTGACTTCTCTGTGGTAGCAACAAATGAGACGAACTGTGTGCCCTTCATCTGGGGATTCTGCACAGCGGTGGCAGATCTCCCTGGCTTCCGCATCACCCGCCGAGCGGCTGATGTGAGGCTACAGCCAGATGATTCCAAGCACTTGAGTGAGCTCTCATCACTTGACTCCTGGTAACTGGCAAAGCATGCAGGAAAATGCCCTAGTGCGTTTTCACACTTTCTGATGTCAAAGATAGGTTTATCATCATCATCATCTAAAGGAGTGCTGTTTTCTTAAACATCTCTCCAAGGTTTGTTGTCTATGAATATTAAAAGATTGAAGACAACCTCTTTAGTCTTAAATTCTTCTTTCATTGTATTTTGTGCTTTTGAAGACACTTACCACTTTTTCTTAAACGCTGTTACCCCCTTGTGCGTCGCAGGTGTGATTGTGTAAAACTGAAGACAGTGGCACAAGGGGCTACTGCATGGCTTCCTCGTACTACTCTTACACTGAGTAAAATTCAGAACTGTCGTACAACATTGAGAAGTCACTTTAGGTAGTTGCTTACCTTTGAAGAATTAGCTATATATGCTCAGTAAGAGAGAAAGTCCCTTACTAGTTGAATGAACTGTCTTAATCAGAGAATCTGCTTGAACCTCTGCATGGGCATCAGCAAGAAGCAGTTTTAGTTTGTCATCTCTCTTCAAAGCTTTCATCTCCTGCTTAATAATACAGCTTGAGTAAATGTTTTTCTCTTGTTCTCACTGAATAACGCAACTTTCTCCTCTTATGTTGCAGTTTCTGACACTGATGATCAAACTGGTAAGTGATACTCTTAATGTTGCCTCATTCGTCTCATGGTTAAGAATCTCAGTGCTACTTCTGTTTTCATGATATAGAAAATATTTGTGTAAAAAATAGAGCTTTCTGCTCCTTGCCAGTTGATGGAGTGGATACACCTGCATTAGTGTAGGCTCGGGGGAATTTTTTCAAACGTTCTGTGCAAATCACAGATTGCACAGTGATCAAATACCTATTCTAACACCGTGGCAGCCTTTGTTTAAGTCTGTCTCATGCAAACTGTGGTCTTTTGTTTACTCAGGTGGTGCTGGGCTCCCTGGCACGGAGGAGAACCTCTGCAAAATCTGCATGGACTCACCAATTGACTGTGTCCTGCTAGAATGTGGCCACATGGTCACTTGCACCAAGTGTGGAAAGCGGATGAGTGAGTGTCCCATATGCAGGCAGTATGTGATACGAGCTGTCCATGTCTTTAAGTCGTAAGTGTCTATAAGGAAGACTGGTGTTGCCTTAAAGCCTCATCTGTTGTTAGAGAAATGGTCAAAATCGCTACAGATAGTTAGGTCGGAGATTAGCATATGGACCTCATAGGGAGCTGAAAGTTATTAGGCAAGGTGAGGAAAGGATGAAGCTTGGAGACTTGCTCTTATTCCAGCCATGCTTGGCTATGCCCTTCCCACTATAGTGCTTTACACCACAGTGCCTAGACTTCCTGGAGCTTATTGGCAGCAGCAGAGGCAGAAATAATTAACAACGTACGTTCTAGAATAACTTGATCCCCTCGTGCTGGGGACAGATAAATGCTTGGCTTTCCAGCACAAAGATCAGATTCTGAGGCTTCTTATTTCCTCTGGATAATAAACAAGGTGGACTGGGGTCTCAATAAGTGACATTTTCTTTTGTTTTGCTGCTACTGAATTCTGATTCTGCTTCCCTCATGTTATGTTTAGGCCACACACCCACTGATAACTTGATTATCAAAGAATAAAATTTTGTTGGGCTGGCTTGTTTTGGGTTTGCTTTTTCTTTCTGTAATTTAATTTGAACTACTTATGCTTGTCGGACAGGCAGACTGCCTCTGTTTTCCATATTCAGAAGAAGTTTAATTCTAGCCTACTGGTATTTTGGAGAAATGTATCATTTTATTTGAAGACAGGCTTTGTACTATTGACAAATGGAAAGGGAGTAAGAGATTCTGTAAAACATACAGCCTTACCTTATGTGGTGGCTTTTTGTTTGTTTATACGCCAGCAAGAGTCGGATTCCTAGTTTACTGTTGTTGGTTCCTTTAACTGGATAGTATGTACCTGTAATTATGTAGAAGCTGATCTGACTTCAGGTGATTAAGGAGCTGAGAATCTAAGGCTTGAGTCTTTTAGAGGGCTTAGTGAGGAAAACGTACAGCCATGGAGTAAGAAATCTGTTGCTACAATGATATTGAAGTACAGGTGATTTTTTTAGAGTGGAGAGTCAAAGCTAGATACTTGAAAGAGAGCAGAGGCCAAACTTTCACTTCTTACTCAGCTTATTGATTCAAGGGAGCTAATGATCATCACTGCAGAGGCTTCTGTTTACTAATTAGCTTCCCTCTTATTCTCTTTGCTCAGTTTTACAGTCCTGTTACGTTAAGACTGCTTATCAAAAGCAATTTATTTTGTGCTTGTGAGGGCAGATCAGAGATTCTCTGGTCTGGTACATGACAATCGCAAACTCATACAGCTGCTCCTTGAACAGCATGTTAATTTGCAAGCCTTGCAAGAGCCAAATTATAACTAACTGACATATTTTCTCTCAGTGGCCTGCACGTATGCAGTCTGTTTGGCGGGTAACACACTGTTAAGTTTCAGAATCTTGCTGCCTTAAGTTTTCAGCCACCATGGGATTGTATACTCATCTCAAGTCCTCAGTGAAGCTGAGTAAAACTTCTGCTGCAGGTTTTTTCTTGCCTAGCTTTCCCCCTTATGGGGTCATGATCGCTTAGTGTTCAAAGTGAATCTCTGCATGTGGTATCAGGGGAGGAACAGCATAAATAGAAGTGTCCATTTCTAGCTGTTGCAGTAATGGAAGCGTAATTACAGAAATGATCACTAAAGCCATCTGCTTCTGCAATAAGTGGTAACGTAAGTTAACAGCAAATTGAGCTTTTGTAGTCTTTAATGTGCGACTCCTCAACTGGCATGAAGTAGATGATCTCTACTCTGCAAGTGGGAATAAAAAAAGCACTTGAGATGAACACATCTGTCACTCAGTACTTAGAACCTCTGCAATACTGAGGTGTCTCTGAAATCCATACAGAACGGACAACTGATGAGGTTTATTGAACTAAAAATTCTGAGTTTTACCTCTTTTCCCCAATTCAGGTTGTTCTTTAAGTTTCGGCTTAAGGTTTAACAGCTTCCAGCACGAGCAGAGTACTGATACCATTCAATGCATCATGTTAAAAAATATAATTTTGCATGTAAGCAATCACTGTCTTTACTCTTCAAGAACTTCACAGGAATCTCTTAAGAGGCACAGGAATACACTTACAAAGCTTGGAACAGCCTCATCCGTAAATTCACTGTGAGAATGCACGGCGTCATACTTTTCAATAAACTCAGGACTCGGGGTGGGGGATTATTCCCCTGTGGACAGATCTACTTGTAGAGGGTAGGCGTAGTTTCTACACCAGATAAACAAGTTGCAGATCCACGTCTGAAATTTTAGGACTAAGATGCGTACAGCTATCATGAGTCTGAAATGTGCTTTCCAGGAAGGATTTTTTTTTTTGCTGGCTATGTATGTTTCCCTTGCAAAAATGGATTCTCTACTATGGCTATGATTAAATTATTTTTAAATTAAAAATAAAAAAAAAATCTGGAGGAAACTGATTTATAATCCAAAGGAATATACTGATCTGAACTAATAAAGTGAATGGAAATATTTGTGCTTTATGTACACTGTACATAGTTTATTTTAAAAATTAATATTTTATTTGAGATGGCATGTTACTCTATTAAATCCTCTTGGTACTATGGTTAAACTTACTAGTTTTGGTACGTAAGTTTGGTTTATAATTTTATAATAAAGTTGAAACGTGATTTAGTTAACCTTGCTTTCTGACTCTGTTGCCAACAGGCTAGGAGAAAACAGAGATCTTTCAGATACTTTTGTACTTTAACCAGAAAAGGCTCAGGCTACCAGGTTCTCAAATATCATTATAAGGTGGAACAGAAGTACAGAAGAGGCTGAAGGAAAAAAAAATTAGAACCTTAATGTTTCAACAGTACAGTCTTTGTGAAGATTACAAAGGAAGAGCTGACAAAGGTGACAGCACATTCAGTCCTCTCGAAACTAAGGAATCACAGTAAATGGGTTAACACTTTTACTTTTGAAATGCACACATGCTCTCTGAGCCTAAGCAAATGCACATCTTACAAGTGTATCTTATTTTCCTTATTTTATTAGTATTCAAGTACTTGACATGATTTAAATAGCTTCAGCGCAGCAGATTCCCCTCAACTGTCCGAAAAGATTCAGATGGTGGAGTTCCTTCCTCAGCTTCTACTCCCTGAAACATGAATAGCAGAACCACATGCGATTTCTTCCAGGAAAAAAAAAAAAAAAAACACTTCAAGGGGATGCTTGGCTAATGCTCTGGCAGTTGCTGTTATGGAAGCTTACTTGGTATCCTGGTTTTAATATGAAACCTATGCAGAGGGTATAAACTGTTACTGGATGTGCTGAATGTTAAAGACAGAAGGAAAAAAAAAAAAAGAAATCAGATGAAGGGCACAACTTCGATAGCCTTTGTGAAAATTATAGCACTTACAGCAAAATTATCCTAGCAGTACAATTAATATGGTTTCAAATATTTGAGGGTCTGTTTTCTGTCCTGACAGAGAATAATCTGTGGAAAATAAGTCCTGACAGCAAAGAAGCAGCTGCTTCAGTTTTATTTCTTTATTTATAAAAATAGCCAAACTTTAAAAACCCGAGAGATGAAACCAGCACCTAGGTAAGTGCAGTGGTCTACATTATGGGCAGAAACATGGATTCAGCAGTGACATCCTTCAGAGAGTTGTTAATTCATTCCATAGGGCTGCTATGGATCTTTACAACTACCTCTGAGGTACTTGGGCATTTTTTTTCTATCTGCATCACCATAGAGGAATCTCACCCTTTCTTCCCCAGCTACATAGTTCTTTGCTGTTCCCTTCAGGGAGTTCCTGAAGTATAGCAGTCTTGAGACCAGTCAGCTGCCCCACACTGTTAGCATGGGGCTACCAGTCTCCGTTTCCGGATGCATTCCCAGATCCAGTTGGGAGACACACGCTGGGCACCAGGATTCTCATCAATGTCCCCTATAACATGTGTTGCTGAGGCTGTGTCAAACTCTTGTACAAGATCTCCATCATATGCTATAAAGTACCGCCGGATTTTGTTGAAGTCCTTCACAGAGGGTGACAGGTACAGCTTCACACCAGTGAATATGTCCAGCAGGGTCTGCATATGGTGGAAGAGGATGAAACAAAGGTCAGCAAAAGATTAGATTGGTTTGGAAATTACACTAAGTTCTTTGCAGCATGAACAAGTCCATTCGCAGCTCCCAAGGATATCATTTTAATCCCAAGTCTAATATCTGTAAATTGCTGTTTGGATCTCCATTAAATGATATACAAGAGCAACTCCCATAGCGTTCCTCTGAAAGCCAGATGCTGCAGATGAACAGCGCTTCCTTCACTAAGGGGATTTATTACCCCATTAGTAGCCCTGCAAGGACTGCCTTCAGTGATGCTGCTGGTGTAGTCAAGTAAATATGCTCTTAGGGCCTAGAACTTTTACAAGCTGATGCTTCTTAGTTAAATAGGAGAACATAACAGCCCTGGGTGGGGACTTGCTGTTTACATCAGAAGAGCTGCTTCAGGCTTATCAGAAAATTACAGCTCAGTGGGTCTTAATCCACTCCTACAGTCTGCTGCACAATGGGCTAGAAAGGACAGTTCTGTCCTTTTACAGCTCCTCTCTCTTCTGTATGCAGCACTGAGCAAGAGTAGCCACATGGCAATCACAATATGATGCCCTTGTAGTGCAGGACATTGTTGGTGGGTGAAGAGAGAAGTATTGGCCTTTAGCCTGACAAGCCCAGTTATGTCAACTCTGCAGCTAGGGAAGAAGGGTTGCAGACATCTGCTTCTTCTATAACGGCTTATTGCCACTAGTTATACCTTCGCATTTTGTTTTAATTTAGGGTGTAGCTACGGGAAGACTACAAAACTTTCCACATGAAAGGCAAAAGTGAACAGACAGACAATTGAAACAGCCTGACCTTCCTCCCCCACCCCAAAGTGATGGCTGCCCAGCCGTCTATACCTTCTTTCCGTTGTCATCCATCTCGGATGCTTTTCGCTTCTCCCCTCGTTTTTCCTCTGATTTCTGAGGGGATGCAATGACTGCTTTGCTGCCTAAAAACAGAACGTTGTCTCAATTGTGCTCTTTGCTAAGATTCTGGTTGTGTATTCAAGTTGAGGGAGAAGAGGGAAGGGAGTGTAAACAGGGACAAGGCTTTTTTTTCTCCCCACGTTTTCTGGGAAATCAATCAGTGACTTAGAAGTTAACTAGTAAGACAGACGCACATTTTCTATTGTGAATGGCCCTGGGCCTCTTCTTGCCCTGATCTCCAGGAAGCTGCGTTGCTGTACAATTGCTTTTCTCCTTGCTATCAACACACTGCCTTTGCAAGGCTGCTTAGAGATATGCCACGAGTTAGTCCCCAGTGACAAAGTGCTGGTGAAGCAAACTTATTTCACAGCTCTGCAATTTACTACCTGGAAATCCCCTCCAGGATCTCTAATACATGCATGAATTTCATCCAAATAAAATTAAATACTAGTTCACGGCCAAAAATGTCTAACCAAAGGGCACGTGATCTGCAGGAATGGGAGCAGCAGGTTTGCTGTTCAGATCAGTCTTATAAACTCTGTTAACAACCCTGATCTATTAAGATGGAAAAGAACTGGAATCTGAGAGAAGTTATGCCAAAGGAATTCTGGTACTAACTATGCCTAGCAGAGTCAGTTACCTGTTCTAGGCAGCGTAACCTCAGGGAGCCTTTATTATCTACATGAGTTGCCTAAACACCAACCTGAACAGCATTATCAATCCTGTTACCATCTTTTTTTGATTCCAGCATGCCTCAGAACTGCGGCTATTCAGTCTGTGCTGTGAATAACACAGTCCAAACCAAGAGTCTAAGCAGCTTTGCCTATGTACTAACCCTGAGGTACATCTACAAGCTCTGTGTGATCTTCCAAGCCTGACAGAAGGCAGAGATCCACAGCCAGTCTGCCCCAAACCCACAGAAGCCACCCTGAGGTTCCTCTCTCTGGAAAGCACCATCTTACCTTCTGGCTTCTTAGCTTTTGCAGGTGACTTGCTTGGGGGGGTTTTAATAGTCTTGTGTGGTGTAGAAGACCTGGAATTTCCCTCATTCTCTCCACTGCTGCCAGTTGTGGACTCCTCTTCCTCCCCAGCAACAACACTGAAATCAGCTTTTTCTTTGGAGAGTTGGTACAGCTCCTGCCCCAGCAGAAACAAAGCATTGCCCTTTAGCTGCAGTGAAGCCTCTGATACTAGACGTGAGCTGCAATGCATGTACTGCTCCCGTTTTCTTTCTGAAGTGTTTGCTCATATGTTTTTTCTGCCTGCACCTTTTGTAGCCTTTTTTCTGTCACCCCCATTTGAGCTCTCAGCGTTCCACCCAGCTTTTTGATATTAAGGGAACCCATACAGGGAGGTACCAAAGCTGTATTTACACCATCTACTACAGGGCAAGTCAGACTAACTCTTCACAGCCTGGCTCCCTATACAAAAAAATGGACAATATCCATTGCTCATTCCTAGAACAGTCTGTCTGAAGAGGGCATTTACCTTTCTGTTCCCTACCTGCATAGGGAGCCAGAACAACTGCTGGACAGTAGTGGGCTGAATCACTCCTTGCTTCGATGGTGTCACAAGCACTTATATCTGCTGTCAGTATCCCCGGAGGCACTGTGCAGACAGCCCAAATGACAGTAACTAGACTGAAAACAGAGCTCATCAACAGCTGACTTACTGCTGGGGATGGCAACAAGCCAACTGGTTTCCATCAGTCAAGGAAGCACTGAAGCTGTGTGGGGTGGGTGCAGCCCCAGGGATCCTGCCAGAATGCCACTTGGCCCCTGTGCCATGGAACTGTGCCAGGCTGCCCTTAGTCACTTCCCAAATGCCTCCCCCAATCCCAGCAATTAATGGGAGACAGAACAACCATAAACACTTAAGAGAATAAAAGGTCACCTCTTTCAGGAAGGAAATTCCTCACCATGAAGGCTGTTATAAGAGCTGATACAACTAGCTACCAGCAGAGACTTTCCTGGAAGTGCACAACAGCTCAAAAGACTCAAGGAGCCCCAGTAAAGAATAAGATTCTCATCAAAATAGTCCAGCAAGCAGCCTGAGCCTAGAATAAGTGGAAAATGTAACGTGCCATCATAGATACTAGTCAGCAGGTGTCTTTACTACATACCTGCTATCAGAACGTGACTTTTTAAATATCAGCTGTTGTCAAAACTTACTCTCGAACATGCTGCAGACATAAGCATATAACAGTAAATCACCTTAAGCTGCGGGAGATTGGTGGCTGTCTTCCAGTCTTTGTCATCTCGAATGCGGGTGCAACGAGGGAAGCGAATGGAGATCCCATCTGCAGTGTGGGCTTCTGCTTTGGAGAATTCAGCCCCTGTGATCTCCCACACTGGGGCTTTCTAAACATGGTATTGAAGGAAATCATATGTCATACTCCTGTGCTCCTCATGAACAAACTTAATGCATTTGCGCCCTTCTAAGACAAATGCCTCAGTTCCACATACACAAACTGCTCTTCTGATCACCGTATTTAGAAACACTCCTGTTTTTTTCAGCAAGTCAGAGATCCCCAGCTACTACATGCTGTCAATTTCTAAATAACATTTTTACTATCAGATATATATGGCACAAAAATATACTACTCTCTTATAAAAAGAGTAGTAGTTTGCTATTATGAAGGTTGGAAAATTTAGTCATTTAGTGAAAA